GGAGAAACACCAGGAGACTAGTAAGGTGATACAAAAGGTACCTGAGTTGACGGCAAGGGTTAAAAAAAAAAAAAAAATAGTTTGATAATTTATCTTCTATAGTACTTGATGTTTCTTCTTATAAAAAGTTATTATAAAAATCTTATCTCTAATCACTTTAATAATTATTTTTTCAAGGCTAGACTATTATAATAAATTTGATAGTTTGTAAGCAGTTAGTTAGCATAAGTACTTAATTGTTTAAATTAATATTTCTATTTATCAGAAATATATATTATCCACAGTTTCTAATATTTTAACTTTTTCTTAATTTTCATAATGCCAAATAAAACAATCTTATATCATATAATAACAATACTAATGAAATTCTTGGTATGTTAGTCTTAGCTATACTCCTTTGAAATGATTCTAACAGTAACAAGCTAATATGAAATAAAATTGATATAGTCTAATAATATATAGAATTGTTTATAAATAGTAATTTCTATAATACATAAAATACATATGTGAATAAAATAATAAAGTATGCTAGGCAAGGCAGCTGGTTAACTAAATAAAAAATATAAAAAAAAATTTAATGGAGATTTGAAATAAAATATTTATAAAAATAACAATGTTTAAAAAATTAATATTATACAAAATGATAATAAAATTGTGCAACAGTAAATTTTTAAATTTTGTTATAAAAAATTTTTCTATTACTGAAATAATACTCTTCCCGATTTTTTTAATAATACTTTTCTCTAGTGAAATAATTAATACGTAGCAATAAAGATCGACGATCAGGTGTTGCATTCTTTTTGGGAGACGGTGTAACTACGCGTACAATTTTTTTTTTCTACAAATTTTTTTGATTTTTTTCTACTAAAAACAAAGTATGTAGAACAAAGTCTTTAATCTGATCCGACGCAACTTTACTAATTCTTCGTTTTTCAGTGGAGCATTTTTCCAGAAGACCACTTTTCCAATTCCTCACCCAGTCCGACACTATATCCGCGATTAATTCTATAACTGCCGACAATATATTCGAATATTACAAACGGGAAAGGCCAGATAGCGACATTTCGCAACTATATCACATGGTAGCCAAAGATTTGGAAGATGTCCTCGACTCAAATTTCTTTAAAGAAGATACGACGCGTGTTCTGAAGGACATTAAATATAATTGGGTTGTAAGTAAACTGTTTAACTATTTATACACGTATATGCATATAGTGGATAGAGCCTCTTTTTTAGAAGGCTTAAGTATCTGAAAGGAAGTAGGGACTGCGGGTCGCTTACTTCTGGTGTATGAGGATTGCGGTCGCTCATATAACCCTGATCGGTGGCAACTTGAGGATTGCGGTCGCTCAAGTTTGGAAGTCCGAGGATTGCGGTTGCTTGGACCTAAACCACTCCTGTCGCATTCCCCAACCGTTTCGAGCTAATTTGTATGAGTCATAAAAAACTAATGCTATCTTTCTTTTTTGAGACGTGGAAAAAACAACGCATTCAATTATATAAAGGTGAAGCAAAGATCAATAATCAGAAGGCCAGTCGCAATGTCCAGTTTGTGAGTGTATGTTTGATTATTATTCCTTCACTAAAAAGTGAACTCATTACATCTCTGCTTTCCTTTTATAAGCAAAAGTGCGTCACAAAATATCAGGGAGGTATCGCCAAAGTTACTATTGCAGAAGTTGATAAATGGGTTGAAGAAGCGGAAAACGCTGACGAAGTCCGTGAAAACAAAAAAAAAGTAGGTCCTTATTTACGACCAGATATAAGTTACGAAAATTTTTATTAATCACTAATATGTTGCTTCCTAGAGAAAACGTCGAGATGCGATAGATATTAAAGAAACTGAAACTTCTCAAGAGGTGAGATCATGAATGCTTTTCAATATTACTTTAGATACGCTAATATGTTTTATGGACATGCTTAGAAGGTGATCACAAATAAAGTTGATCAAGAGGAAGAAACCAGGGTATGTGGAACGTGAATATATTTTCTCAGTTTTATTTACAAAAATGGACATCTATTATACAGGTTGCGGTTGAAACAAAAATAAAGCAGAAAAAAATTGGTCAACTTTTTGATGAAATGAGGAAACGTAGCATATATATATTGGTTAAACCATTTAAATCGTTATCTCAAGAAGATGCGGAGGACCTATTTGAGAGAATAACTCAAAACACCGTTGTTAAAATTGATCTTCCAAATTTTATCGAAAAATATTTACAAGATTTACTTGATGGAGATATTGAAGGTGTGTTTCTGAAAGTTAGAAATCCACCCAGCAAGGATTCGCAACCTCTACTTTTATGGACGAGTGAAGTTTGTCGGCATTTTATTTTTTACTATTATTACGGAGGTTTACAAAAAAAGGGGGATGAAAAGACTTGGTCTAACCAAACCATTTACCGAATTCTTGATTTATTTTCAATGTTCTTTGGAGAATTAATATCAGAAGTTTCATAGTAAGTTTTGTAATTTTTCCCTCCATGCTTTCAATATAGATTAATGCTATTCCTATTTTTAGCGGTGAAATCATCAATGAAGCACACAAGGATCGGATTTATAATATAAATATAGATCAAAGACCAACAAGTTCTAATAGAGGAGATAAAAATGATGCGGTTATATATCAAGATCAAAATGCCACAATCATTTATGAACAGTCTTTCGGTCCAACAGAATTCGATGAGACACATTATTTAGAAGACATAACTAAATTGGCAAGGAATGGTGTGGACGATCTAAACTTCCATTTTATTCAATATAGTAATTCTTCGATAATGACAGCAAAAAATTTTAAGTCTATTAGTATTCACGGATATAGTAGGTATTTTACATTTATGTTTTGCAAGAATGGTTTGCTTTAATAAACTCATCTAATTTCTATATTTTAGAATATTTTATATCAGTTTATCTTACGGATCTTGTTAGGATTAGAACTTATAGAATATACGAAATATATAAATGCAAGATTCCAACATCATTCACAGAGCGGTGGTTGCTTAAAAAAATTGCAAATCTTGGCGTTTATCTGGAGACACTACTTACAGAACGTCAATCTATAAGAGCAAAAATGTGTGAAGAAGATGCTAACATGGAAAATAATCACGATTGTATATCCGATTGGATAACAATACCAGATAACACTCCTGATAAAAGAATAAAGTATCAGCAAAAAAATAATATTGCCATTTCTTGGTGAGATTTTGCTCACATCGGGCTCAATTTTTTAATAAAAATTTTCTTCCATAAACGGAACATGCACATGTAAGACTATTGGCCTTATTTTTATTATTGATTCTCCCACATCGGGCTTTAAACTTTATGCAGTGTGGCTTGAATTGTAACGTGCCGGTTGTGCATTTACAATGAACTTTCTAATTTTTTCTTGGAAAAAAACCGTTACCATTGGCAACGATCAAAGTCTTGACATTTTTCTTTCCAGGTCGGAAGCGAAATTTCTTGGCAAAGTGATCGAACATGGGCTATATGCTAATATTCGGAAATTAATGATGATGACAAGGCATTCAAACAATGCATGAATGAAATAACGCTAAGACTTTCAAATTTGGAAATGATGCAAACTAATGCTAACGAAGCTACTCGCTGTGTATTTATTAATTCGATATTAAACGCATCTCTGGCAATCGTTCGAAAACTTACCAACGAAGAAAAAATTTATATATCATACTAAAAAGATGTTTCTGGCATCTGGACGTGTCGATTATGTCATTAAAGGAAATGATGATCTTATGTGTATAGCTGAGGGAAAGCTTTGTAATGTTGAAATCGGTTACTTCCAAAATATCATGCAACTTGAGAGCACATATCACAAACAAAAAGAAACGTACCGCGGATCAAGCATTCAGAAATGATGATTATGATTACTATATGGAAATGTATAAACATGAATTTTTTTTTTTGATAATATTTTTTTTCAGAGTTATGATTTCTACTAATTATTGTTTAATATTTTTAGCCATGGAATGGCAAAAGTATAACAAAACAATTCTTTAGTCAATTCTTTGTGTAAACAGATGAATCACATAAATAATTAGATTAGAAATGACCTACAATTGATCAAACATTATAAAAAGGTGACATTTTTCTTCAACCTTGAAAAGAGAACAACTAGATCTATAATAATAAAATTTTGAATTCTTGTAATTTTCTTTTAATTCTCTTTAATAAAATTATTATTATTTTCATTTTTTAAAAAATTTTTCTGTTATTTTTTAATTCCAATATCAAGGCAGAATTGTAAAATTCAATTAAAACAATAATATTTAATTGTTTATACTAATTTATTTAATAATGTTTGGAACAGAATATATAGTATATTGAATAAATTTAATTATTAAGAATTGAAAATTATTTTTGTTAGTAATTTGAAAATTTCAATATATTAAATTGTAAATTTCATATTTTTTTAATTTATTTTGATATTATTTTGAATATTATTCTTTATTATTCTTTATTTTATTTTTATTTTATAAAAATACTCTATTTATTGTAAATCTAAATTGGCACAATTCTTATTTTGTTTTTCCAAGGCAATAACAATAGTTCATAATAAGAAAGTCAATGTTTATTTTGATTTAGATTCTTGTTAACAATAAAAAAATCAAAAAGTTTATAGTAGATTATAATTTTTAATTTTAAAGAAAAGTTTTATTTATTTTACAACTTTAAATAAATAAAGAGATTAACAAAATTAAAAGTTTTGAAAATATTAAATAATATAATTTGGATTTTTTATTAAATTGTTAATAATATTAATTTTAAAAATAATTATAACAAATTTTATAATATTTTGATTTTTGATATTAACAAAATTAAAGTTTAAAAAAGTATTATATTTTAAAATAATATTAAAAAGTTTTTTGATAATAATTTTTGTTAAAATTTTTCTGTTTGTTAATAAAAAAGATTAAATAAATATTAGTAAGGTTATAAAATTAACCAAATTTTTTAAATAATAATATAATAATAAATTGCTTTTAAAATTTTAAAACTTGATTTTTTTAAAGAATTTTAAATATTATAAAAAATATATTCTATTATTTAAGAAATAATATTTTATCTAGAATTTTTTGTACTGTTGTTTTATAAATTTTAATTACATAATTAAAAAATAATAATCTATTTCTTAATATCTTTTTTTGTTTAAAGTTTTATAATAATAATAATAATTTTTTTTAATTAAAAACATTTTGTTTTTTTATTATTTTATTAATTGATATTGAATTTTATTTTTATTTGTTTTTATGAAATATTTTAATATTCAAGATATATAAAAAATATTTATTTATATTATATTTTATATTTTTTGAAATTTTTACAAGTTATTAGATAAATTAATATTTTTTTATATTTATAATAAAAGATATAGTTGATATTTTTAAATAATTTTTAAATATTATATTTAATTAAATTTTCTATAGTTAATAGTTTATTATATATAAACTTGGTTTTAAATATTTTTATTTATTAAAAAAATTAAAAATATTTTCAATTAATCTTGTTATAAAATTTTTTTTTTGTTAAATTCTGTTAAAAAATATCTATTGTATTATAATTTCTTTTTTGTTATAATATTTGATAAATATTTTTATTAAAATATTAATTGAACCAATATTGTAATTGAAATTAATAATGATAATAATACTTTTTATTTATTTTTTAATTTTTTTTTTTTTTATTATCTTGATCAGTTGTTCAATTTAACTATTTACCATGTTTTAATATTTTAGCAACAAGCTATAGAATAATAATAACCTTTAGTAAATTTAGAAAATAATTGTTTGATACAAATTTAAAATCCTATTTTTATATATAAGCCAAAAAAAAGTTTTTAAATTTAAACTGTATTATTGTGTACAAACATATGCCTAATTTGAGTTAATTGAAAGCTCTATTGCGCCAAATTGAGGATCTCCTTAACCTAATTCCGGTTTATTTCCTTTATTTACAAAAGTGAACCTAATCTATCCTTTATAGGCGAGATCGTCCAAAAGACCTATAATCAAAACCAGATAATCTTTCATAACTTATATAACTTGTGAAAATATGCATAATTATCGGTATAACCATAACTGTAGGTCTAAATTTCTTCTCACGAGCACATCATGATGCATAAAACTTTACTTTGATAATCAATCTCCTTTTGGCGGGAAATATACAATAAATAAAAGCGCCTTGACTCCTTTTTTTCTTAAATCTTCCTTTTACTAAAATTTTCAATAAAAAGTTAAAATGGGGAGTTCACCATCTTCATATCCTCTTAAAGGGATTGGTTACTTCTTTTCCCATTGGATTTTAGTTCGCAGGATTATTTTTGCTCTACTTCTGACGCTTGTTGTATCCGTCATCGCAATTGTCTTAACTTTTGGAATTTTCTTGGCCCTCCAAACAGCTCTTTTAACAGCTATACTTATCCCACCTCCAATAGCATTTATCATTGCATTTATTTTATGTATAATTGAATCTACAACTTTCGTTTTCATATTCTACACTATTGCCACACCTTTTTGGCAAGATAGTTTATTTGATGAGGTTTTAAGGTTGAGGGGCCTGGGACCAGTGTTAGATAAGCCAAGACAAGCTAGCGGTTTTGTTTTATGCTTTCGTGGGTTTAAGTCAGGTTTTGAAATAATCGTGATTCAAGTAAGTTTTTATTTAGGAAAGTCATTCAACTTTTATGACATACTTTACCGTTTTAGTAATTTCGAATTTCTTTGAATTTTAGGTATTCTTTCTTATTATCACGTTACCTATTCACTCGATTCCTATTCTTGGATCGGTAGCATATTGCTTCATCAACGGATGGCCATTAGCATGGTCCCTTCAAGCCCATTATCATATAGATATTAAAGAACTTACGTCAAAGCAATCAAGAAAATTTGCATGGGAAAATCGAAAGGATTATATTTGGTTCGGAGCAGTTGGCATATTTCTTGGACTGATACCAGTTCTAAATTTGATATTCTTTTGGACAAATATTGTTGGTGCTGCTTTGTGGACTTCTGATGTGAGTATTGTGAGCAGTCAAATTTGCAAGTTATAGTGTCTATTAATATTGACTTGATTGATAATATTATCCTTTTTTTTTTTCAAAAAGGTTCTTATTGAAGAACAGAAGCTTAAGAATGATAGTATTGAAAGAAGTGTTAATACGGACGCTGTAGGAACATCTTATCAAGCTGCAACAAATATGGAGGGCTCCGCTATTACTGCTACTGCTGTTAAGACCTATGGAGCTACTGACAACGCCTAAGTATTTGATGCTTCGAAATGTAATAAATTTTGAACTTATTGATATAAAGATTTTTGTATACATTACCTTTTTTGTGAATCATTGAAATAATAAATGTACAATCAATATTTCTGAGTTTCAATATTAAATTACCTGTATAATATTAAATAATGAAGAGAAAACAATTGAATTTTGCCTTATGCAAACAGTTTATTAATTTAATTAAATTTTCATGTTAATATAAAATAATTCTTATTTACTAATAAATAATTTATATAGTAATACAATATATGAACTAGTTTTTTAATTTTGAAAAGAACATAATTGTAAAAGAAATTTTATGTATAAATTATCTTTTATACTCCATTTTTGATATTTTAATCTTAAAAATTAAAAATTTATTTATTATTATTATATAGAGTATTGCGATTATGTTTTTGTTTAAAATAATTTAAATTAAATAAAATTTTAAAATCGGTTTTTAAAATATAAAAACAAGCTTACTTATAATTGTTTTTTTATTGATATTATTATTTTTATTTATTTATTTATTATTGCTTTTTTAAAAAATTTTTTTCTTTTTTATTTTATATAAATTTTAAGCTTAAAATATAAAAACTTTAAAAAAATTATTGTTATCTTTAATTAAATAATAAATAAATTCAAAAGTCTTATTACTCTATAATTACATATATTAAAAAATATATACTGTATAATAATAATCTTTCTTATAACTTTGTTTTTTTTTTATTAACAATACAATTATTTTTTTTATTTTTTTTAATAATATTATTTATTTTTACAGATATAATTTAATAAAATTATAAAAATTTTTTTAATATAATATATAATTTTCTTATAATTATTATAAAATTGTAATTAATTTTAAAAATTAAAATCAAAATAATATTTTAAAATAATTTATTTTTATTTTTTTTTTTGGGGGTTTCCCCTCATAGGTAAGCATCATTTCTTTATTTGATATTGTATATAATAAGGTATACATCGTGAAAGAAACAACATCTCTTACATACATATGTAGCAAGTTAAATGCTAGCCTACCTACGCGAACACCTCTAGCTAATATTGAAAAAGAAATTCAAAACAATACTAAACGCTAGCTGTGCCTGAATAGCAGCTATGCCTATCTACTCAGGAAATTTTGCAAATTCTTTTGATTTTTTAAATGAAAAAAAATTGAAAAGAAAAATAAAGTAACTATAGCTAAAACTAAATCGAATATACTATAATATCTATAAGTAGAAAACCAATTATTTCCCCTCGGAAGCCCCCGGACAGGCTCGTGGTCCCATCTCTCCGGCTCCTCG